CTGCTTCAGTCAAAAAGGACTATCCATGGCAAACTCCAGACACAAATCCATGGTAGTCTTGCTACCCCCTATTACACTTTTTTCAGATTGAACTCTTATGCTAACTTGTATGTTCAACCTTTGTCTTACTCGGTTCCTTCTTTCTCATTTTATTTAGATAAGAACAAATGAAAATAAGCCTGCAGGGTATGTTAAGAAATATATTGAATGAGTCTTTAAATATTTATGGTATTTTAAGGTAGAAATGAAAGCTGTGTGAGACTAAAACAGGAAAATTTAATTTGTTATTGTTGTATTAATCTCACTAGTCAGCCTTGCTCTAATGAGAAAAAGCAGAATAAAAGGTAATAGTTACCAAAAGTGAATGCTAAATCAAATCTATCAAACACACTTTTTCTATGTATAATTTTGAATCTGAAAAACCACCTGCAAACATTCAAACTATGGCTTTCAGAGACAATCCACTGTTCTCAGACATTCTGACTGGGCTTTTAAGGCTATGGCTAGTTAGTTCATACCATTTGAATCTGCATTCTTAAAATATCTAGAATGAAAAAGCATATGATAATGCAAAAAAAACCCCAGAGGGAATCTTTCAAAACACACATGTGTACAGGCAACAGAACATCCTCTTTCCACTGGTTTCCCAGATCAGCCTACCACTAATTTATTTAACATAGCAATTGCAGTCAGGGACTTAATAAAACATGTAACAGCAACAATGACCAGTTGCCTGTCTTGTCTGTGGTAAGTGCCTGGAGAGAGGCTGCAGGTCATAAGAAAGTCAGTGGAAGTTACACAGCAGTGGCAAACAAATATATGTTCAGGTATTGTCACAGCAGCTCAATGCTCAACACATACTAAACACATACGCACGCATGTCCTGTAGTCAAATATTTAACCGCGGATAGGTATCTATATCTACATATCGATCATATATACATACAGAAATACACAGTAAAACAACTAAGACCAAATAGCAAAACACCCCACTGTACCTTGGCAGAAAGTCTATCTTTGAGTGTTTAGGGTACCCGCTAAACTCAGCCTTCGGCTCTGTCCTGAACAGAAGACAAGTCTTGGTCCAAAGCTCTCAGATTTCCTTTTCTAACTGAAGATACATTGGGAGCTGTCCAGCCTATATGGATCAAATCGATGACATCAAAAGGGGCAGGACTTAAGAAACAGATCATGGAAATTATTCAAAGCATGATCCAGGGAATAATAGGAAGTGAATGAACTGGACAAACAAGTTAACATTAAGGTTACGCTTGAGTTAAAGTTGGTTTGAGTGGTGGTGGTGCGTTAATTTTTTTTTTAATGGCTAGAATAGCTTTTTAGCCGTAATTTCTACAGAGGCCTAGTGAAGTAACCGTGGATCCTGTAAGGTTCTTTCCGCTCTGAACTTTCCCATCAAGGAACTAGCTTTCTGCTGTCTTTTCATGGTTTCCGGAGGCTTGCATGATCACTAGTAATTGAAGTCATTAAGGTTTCCACAGGTGTGCTTGAGGAATTACATACCTCAGTGTAATCTGAAATGATCAGCTACTCAGTCGAAGGCACACGTGGCAGTGGATTTCTTCCTGCTTCTCCAAGAATATTGCTTATCCATAGCGAGCTATCCCGTACCCATTAAGAATTTAACTCTTCAGATGTTGAGACTTGAATAGGCTAAATCAACCGTGATACTCAATTTAAATTAGAACACCCTGGTTTTGTAATACTGCTTAGTTAAGACTTGCAAAAGTCTGCATAAATAGTGCAGAAGTAGATTCAGAATCCTGGGACTGCTAAGACACAGGCACCTCAGATTGCTTGCGTATTAGTACTGAAATCTGCCCAGTTCAAAAAAGCTCTGCAATGGTTTTGCAAGAAGCTTGTTATATGAAAATATTAATACTCAAGATATGGATGTCTAGAGCTCCAAATCAGACCAGCAGAGCTCCTGCTTGCCTTTCAAAATTGGCTGGAACCAGACTTCCTATTACATTGGAAGTTGTGAAATACTCTCATTTGCAAAGACAATGAAAATTTCTTGTGAAATTGAATTCAAAAAGAAGGGAGAAAGGGCAAAGATCAGGGGAAACATACTCTTTTGATTTTGACTGATTTCAATCCTGTTCACATTTTTAACAGTTGCTTTGTGCTGGATTTTTAGAAAAACAAAACATGTAGAACACTCAGGTCAAATTTTAAAATTATTATTTTAAAAGATGCGAATCCTATTAAACAGCTGTTGTTAATGTTTTTTACCCCTCCTTGTCTTTGGTATTAAAGGACAATGTCACAAAAAATATTTGGAAAGTTTTTTAAATTTTAAAAGAAGCCAGTATTTTGGGGTGTAAAAATTAAACTTTTGATAAAAAAAAAAAAAAAAAAATCCAGTCGGCTCTTGAATGAACAGCTACAGCAGAGTCACTTGTCTCTGATTCATGAAGGGGTAAGTAGTTAAATTCTCATTAAAACAACTCAGAACACTGAAAACCTAATTCTGTCACGTCCATTTATTTGTCCCCCACCCTTCTTTCTCTCTTCATTTTCTATTGTGCAATAGAAAATGGCAACAATAAATCCTTGACAATGAAATTATTGCACAATGAACATACACAAGACAAATTCTGTTGCTTCATTATGGCTGCAGGCCTCAGCATAGAGATTTGCTGGCAGGACATCAGAACAAGACCTTCTGAGCCAGCCATGAATTTTTCCTGCAGGAAATGGAGAAGAACTGGATATGCAGACAGCGCTGTCCCTCAAGCAAGATACCATTTCTGTTTGCACTTGCTCATTTGTCATCCTGTATCCTGAACTGGGAGGAGAGGGGATG